CAAGCTTATTCTGTAAGTTTCAGAAAAATCTAAAGAAAATGGATTTTTCGGAGAACGTCCTTAAGTGCTCACTGAGGATGATCATATTAAAGGTCGAAACGTAATTTTTGTATTTGACGAATATATGCTGTTTCCTCAAAAGACACCCAGCGTTTGGTTCTTAATAGCCCTTATTTATTTTAATATTTGAGTTGTTAATTCTACTGAGCCGTTTGATAGTTTCATTTATAATTGTTGAACATAATAATTCTATTTTGTGCAAGTAGTGCATCGACCATAGTGCCAATTATCCAACATATTAAAGAAATTCCTTAGATTCATCCCAGTTTACTGGATTACATTATACGGACATACTTTTATATTAAAAATAGACTTTTAAACACATTCATTGTTATATTTGCGCACAAAGTACCGGGCTAACTCCTACTTCCCCTTATATTCTTGTCTCTAATTTTTTAAATATTAAGGAGTCCTTTAACATTAATTATTGTTCTCACTAGAGAGAATTAATATTCCACAGCAGAAGTTTATTCTGTATATATGTTGTCGAATTGCAAGGAATAAAAAAAACAATTAAAAAAAGGAGAAATTAATATTTACTTAATTGGAAGTCGATTAGGAAAGAATAGGAAATCGCAAAAAATACAGCAGATTGACTGCAACAATATTCAATTTCTCTTCTTGTTGACTATTGTATGTATAATATAATATTGACCGTCGGCATAACGATATAACTACCAGATATTTACAGATATCCTTCAGCAATGATTTACATTTACATTTACATACAACGAGTTTAAAGTTTCGTCACAATTTCTACACAAACACAATTCAATAACAATATCGTATGCGATAACTGTCTCTCAATAATGAGTTATTAATCGTAATAAAAATATTTCATTCGCGATGCGTTTGGACCGGAAATTAGTCCTCACGCGGATATGCACAGCCCCATGCGGTTACTCCTCATTAATTCCTATTCCAATTCTTTATAATCTCAATTTTTTCAACCAAAAATATATTTAACTGTATTCCTTAAGGAACTTGATGTGGAATTGCTTCAGTGCTTCGAGCATTGTTTTGATTTTTTCTTTTTGCGGCAGTATCGTGGTCCGGAAATGATATGTACCGGGTATCTGGCCGAAGCCCGAGCCCGGGATTACACAGATTCCGGTGCTCTCCAGCAGTTTGAACGCGTAGAAGACATCTGGTTCTTGACCTTTCGCTCGCGCCGCCTCAATCGCTTTTGGCGGCAACTCGAAACGCGGGAACACATACATCGCGCCCATCGGCGGATTCGCCTGAAAGGGAAAAACAAAGACATTGTAAAAACTCCGTCGAGCGTAGTTTTCCTTGGCTATTCTATGAAAGGACAGTTACCTTATATCCTGGAATACTATTGAGTGTGTCGACGACGAGCTGCGATCTCTCTGCTAGAGACCGTAGAGTTTCCTTTTTCTCTTTCTGGAATTGCTGATACGATGGCTCATTCGGTCGCGGCGGATTCACCACAACATCCATCACGACCTGGCCGAGCACGGTAGGACACAGCATTGCAGAGATCGACTTCAACAACACCTTCATCACTTCCGGGTCCATGTTGATAATTTCAGCGTAACCGCCACGGATCCCGCACTCACCCATATATCCTGAAAACGAAATGCCCGGAATGCTTCTGAAATTTCCCGAGAAATCTATTCATGAATTTGATAATCAAAATTCAATAATTTTTCAAATTAAATATTCCTATTCAATGTTTCAACTAAATCAATAAATTATTGCGGACATAATTTAAGAACTCAATGTCCCTTGATTAAATTGTCTTGAAAATTTAATATTTTAAATAAATTGTTTTTAACGATTCCTATCGCTAGATGTTTCGATTCCCAAACTCTTTTTTCGTACCTTTCGAGATGGACATAAATGATGCCAGTTCCATCTTCGAATATGGCTCGCCCATCTCCGTCATGACTTTCTTGAAAGAATGGAATGCGCTGTCTTTGTCGTATATGTTGTCCTGGTAGACTTCGTCGGCCAGCAAGAACAGATGATGTTTATGGGCGAAGCGGATGACGTTTTCGATGTTCTTGCGAGTCAATACTTGACCGGTTGGATTACCGGGATTGATCACCACCAACACGCGAGGATTACACGTATTCTTGACTTCTCTTAATGTTCGTTCCAGCTCGCTGACTTCTAGCGACCACTTGTTATCCTCATCCAGATAGTACCCTATTTGAGCGAGTCCAAACTCCGCCAGGGTCGCCGAATACAGAGGATACTGCGGAATTGGGATCAGAATGCCAGAGGGTTTATCGTTGATCCTTTCGTTGAATAGTTTTAGAAATGACTGGAAAGAGAAAATTCAGAATTAGACAAGAATATATTTAAAAAAAGGTGATATAGTGTCATTATACTGTTAGTTATTATACTGTCAGTCTGTTCAAAATATCAAAGTTAAAATGCCAATTTTATACGCCATGCATTGCATACGTAAAAACCATTGTTTAATGTAAGGTTTTTCAATTAGTGTCACGAAAATTTTAGAGAAAATGAAAAGAAACAAAAAAGTATAGAAATAAAAAGCGATTATAACACTTAAGGTAAAAAATATTTTTTAAATTATAAAAGTTATCTAAATTATATTTATTCTTTTTTATTAAATCATGTTTACTCTCACTTGAACTAAAACAATATCATCATTGCAATAAACATTACTTTTAAAACAATGAGATAAAACAATAGAAACTCTAGAATTTAATTCTGTTTATTTTTAACTGTCGTGTTGGCGGTATTGGACAAAAGATCTATGCTGAGAGCTGCAGAAGCATGTGCATCTCGGTAATGATGTATCTCGACATATTTGGCACGTTATTTATAAATGTGTTGTAAATTAAAGGAGGTTGAAAAACACTGGTCTAATACATAAATATATATATGCTGTACGCATAAAATAACTTTATATGCTTATTATTATGTAGAAAAATTGGACTTTAACAGTATTTAAGATCGCAAAGACTTTCATCTTTTTCAATATTCTTTAACATCACTTTCCGTTTTGACTTTTGACATTTGTCAACTTACTATTCTTTACCCAGAGAAAAGATTTCTTCGATTTAAAGAAATATTTCTTTGCTATACGGTTAAAGAAAAAATTTCTTTATTTGTGAACGTCATTTCTTTGATTTAAACATTATTTTTTTAAATAAAATAAAATTTATTTGATTTAAAAAAATAATATTTACATAAAAGAAATGACGTTCACAAATCA